CCTATGCCCCTAAAATGACTGCATCGCTTAATAAAACTTCATTAGAAATATCATCGAAAACTATATTTCTGCTAACCATTTTTTATCTGACCTAACTCAGTGCATTCAACGCCAAGTTGAAGTGCATTGTATACATCGGCCAGCATTTAACCGTTTATGGCAAGGTGAGGTGTAAACAGTAAAGAGGGGAGGTAAATCATTTCGCTCACAAATTACGTCAGGAATGGCTGGTCGTCATCGCGTCGTTGCGTCGCAGCAACACCAAGAGCGTCAAAAGGGGAGTAAAGGTAAGTAGTTAGGGCCACATTTGAAGGGAAACACGTCGAGAAAGATGGAGAGTGTAGTTACCCCAACATGTGGGGCCCTCATGTTACACTTCCTCACGTCCTTAACTTCCTCGTAGCGACAGTGAAGGGAATACAGTACCCTCGCAAAACGCATGTAATAAGACTGAGCAAGAAGCTGAATGTGCGAGTTTGAATACAGCTCATAATTTGATCATTTCGTATAATTTGTGTATTAAAGCAAGTAGCACTCGTAAATTAGCACTCGTAAACATTCATAGCTTAAATTTTACCTCGATTGATTAAACAGATAAGTATAATTATTCAGCATTGCGAAAAGAAATTTCATACAAGCATAAGTCTTCTTCGTTCAGAAATAATTTTTCATTAAATTAATTTGAAACTATGCTAATCGTTCAGGCACTCATATTAAAAACCGAACTAATCAGTTTTAATCTTCACTTAAAGAATACAAATGCATTTACCATACATGTGCATACACCATATATTGATTATAGGTCACGACATATTCACCCGAATGAAACGTTAACATGGAACAAGCCCTATATCGGGAAGAAATTTAGATGTAAGATGAAACGTCTTCGATAAATGCAATACTTCTTAATAATTGAGACTAATATCTGATAAGTTCGTTCATAAGGTATAAGATCACAAGTTCGTTGGAGATTCCAAGCTCGGCCAAACCGGATCGCGTCGATACGAAAAAAAAATAATGCGAGCTCATTAAATGTCCTCGCTAATCATGTAGGGAGAGCATCGTGAATTAAAGCTTCTGCTTCCGGACATTTTCAGGTAAACTGTTGCCCATTTTTGTGCTAATAATGGAAATTTTTTCCTATTGCAAACCGACGATAATTGTCTCATGACAAAAAAAGACATCGGATAACGGAATTTTCTTACTGTTTGTTCACCGCAAAGTAATCAATAACAAGATTTGTCAGCAATCGGCAACTGCGTTTTCATTAATATTGAATTTGTATTTATAATAATTTCTAGTTTTCATTTTACTTGCGAAATTGAATGTTTGAACTTTGTTAATATTATTATTATTATTATTATTCCACGAAGAGATTGTCGTGGCGTCTCGTTCAGATCGAACTTCGAGGGCACGTTACAAGCGGCTAAAAAAACACAAGATGATAAAAACAGATGACATCTATGCTAAAACAGAGGACATATGCCAAGACTAGGCATATAATAATATGCCTAGTCTTAATAGGCATATCAAAGGAATTACGTTTCTTTAAAGCAAGCGCCACAGGAAAATCAATTATCAATCCATCTTCGAGTATTGAATTCGTTCAGAAAAATCGTAGCAGCCATAATTCCAGGCTGAATCGATATGAGGTAGAACGATACTCCGACTTGGCTCAAGATAATCGTTCGCTGTCATACATCTAATTATGTCTATAACATGCAGGTATTTATAATCATGAATACACGACCACATGAATGAAAGTTCTTTTTTAGAGGGTCATTAAATAGGATCCAGATAAATTTAAAATTAAACTGCAGTATCATGGAAATTAAAAGATTTTTTATGCCAAGCTGAGACGAACGCACGCTACGGTCTGGCGCGTCCCGTCATGAAAGACTGCTTCAATTAAGAGAGCTTCACGAGTCCACAAAGGCTCAGTTGGAGTGCGTGTACAAGTGTTGGCCTATCACAAGTGTTTCCATTGGCCGCAATAAATTAAAGGAAATAAGCAAACACGGAGAGAGCTTGCAATGGAAGCTCACACAGAGTAAGCGCTGTACAGCGCCGGTCACCCTAGAGTCCTTTTCAGATAACGGCTAAAGGGCCGGAGACACGTCTTCTGTTTGCCTTCTGCGCCTGACATAACACAACAAGAATTTCAACCAAGTCTGCTCCACCTCATTCAGATAGCAGAGTACACAAAGTTATTCTAAAAATGCTTGGTAGGATATTCATCAAAAGAAATAATTACATTAGTCGACCATCAAACGAGACGTCAATGGAAGCGATGTAATCAGATACCGAGCAAAGATGAATACATTCTTCCTCCTAAACTGCATAAAGATATAAAATAGGGTGTAGATCAAATTGCCCTGATGATTTAATGTCTCATTACTTACTCTATTAAAATCCGATAAATGATGGGCGGATTAGATATGATACTCCACACCATGTATCGCAAAATAAATATACTCGTTCGCTTCTCGGTTACATTCATAATGTTCACATTTATCTAGGTAAGGTCATTAAATTTTCAAATTTCGCAATCAACAGAATATTTAGCTGATTATATTTTCGACAGTGTAAAATTGTTCCCCCATACATGATCGGCATCGGTATTGAATGCTATGTATTATCAAGATTCAAACTTTGTGGAAAGACGATATTATTTCTTTAAAGCATTGAGTGGCTAGCAAGCTAGTCTTTGCGTACAATTAATTTGCCAACTACTCGAGTCGAGAGAATTAAGAACAAGTTTCGTTCTTATTTACACTCATCTAAAAGTAGTGCGGAAAAACTCATAGACATCACGACCAAATAATCATCAGGACATAAATTGCACTTTCATGATGAATAATTCCTTAGCATCCGCAATTAAGCATCTCAGGTGAAGGGCTAGTTCTCCGTTTCTTAAAATTTTGCTACAATACCGGATAATAGTTATAATGCTGGCATTTCCGTCACTCTCGCCTCAATTGAGCGCTTCTGAAATATGGACATCATATAATGGTCTTCGCCAAATAGGTCCTGGTCGTTTCCTTGGCCATATCCAGTTCCGCCGATGGGAGGCGGACGCGAATGAGCAACTCGATTCAAGGCCACGTAATGCATGTCAGAACCTAGTGAACTCTAACTTAGATGCAATATTGCAACGATACGCAAGTTAAATTTGACTTCAGTGTATTTCGCACTTTCGCGACAAGTGTATTGTATTAAGTGTTATTTGCCACGAATCCTTGCGCTGAGGATTCGTGACGAAGTGGATGGGGACGGACAAGCGCGATGGATCGGGGTGCATACACTGTCACAGACAACAAATTTAGAGGTTAAGGGATGAAAACAATTCCTAATAATGTTATAATACAACCATAAAAATAAATTGAAGGGATGCCATAACTTACCACGAGCTTCAAGTGGAGATAATCCTCTGAGGGAAGTTTGAGGCGATGTGTGTAGTGAGTGATAAAGATGTTCCATATACGGCGTGATGCGATATGGATGATGCGGGTCCCCGCTGAGTGCCAAGCTTGACACTCCGAGGGTGGTGGCACCGAGGGCAGAGGTTCCCAGAGGGGAAGAACCCAAAGGTGAAGCCCCCAAGGGAGAGGCACCGAGGGGAGAAGCTCCGAGCCGCCCTCCCGAGCCTCCGAGTAAGGGGAGGTCGAGGCTCGGTGCGCTGCTCACTCCTACAAGCCTGGGGGGAAAGAGTGCAAATGATTAGGACACACCGGGTAAACATAGTGCTAGACATGTACTGAGTGGAACATCAATTAAGGAAAATTATAACAAAGATGCCAATAATTTGGCAGGTGGGACATCGACTAAATCATTTCATAACCACACAATACTAGCAATTTGGCTAGGGAAACATCGATTAAATCAGATACCAACAAAGCAATACTAGGATGTTGGTTAATAAAACATCAACATCGTATCGCATCGAAGAATTCATATAAATTTGACAATTATAATATCGATTAATGCACTTCTTGTGAACGAGATAATAGGGAATTCATAGTATACGGAGTGCAAGAATAATGGATTTATCGAGAAACCTGGAATGTTGGTTTATTCACAATACGCGAACAATAGCGTAGGATGTGAAATTGAAAGTAGCACAAAATTTTATATTTCGCAATCAACAGAATATTTAGCTGATTATATTTTCGACAGTGTAAAATTGTTCCCCCATACATGATCGGCATCGGTATTGAATGCTATGTATTATCAAGATTCAAACTTTGTGGAAAGACGATATTATTTCTTTAAAGCATTGAGTGGCTAGCAAGCTAGTCTTTGCGTACAATTAATTTGCCAACTACTCGAGTCGAGAGAATTAAGAACAAGTTTCGTTCTTATTTACACTCATCTAAAAGTAGTGCGGAAAAACTCATAGACATCACGACCAAATAATCATCAGGACATAAATTGCACTTTCATGATGAATAATTCCTTAGCATCCGCAATTAAGCATCTCAGGTGAAGGGCTAGTTCTCCGTTTCTTAAAATTTTGCTACAATACCGGATAATAGTTATAATGCTGGCATTTCCGTCACTCTCGCCTCAATTGAGCGCTTCTGAAATATGGACATCATATAATGGTCTTCGGCAAATAGGTCCTGGTCGTTTCCTTGGCCATATCCAGTTCCGCCGACGGGAGGCGGACGCGAATGAGCAACTCGATTCAAGGCCACGTAATGCATGTCAGAACCTAGTGAACTCTAACTTAGATGCAATATTGCAACGATACGCAAGTTAAATTTGACTTCAGTGTATTTCGCACTTTCGCGACAAGTGTATTGTATTAAGTGTTATTTGCCACGAATCCTTGCACTGAGGATTCGTGACGAAGTGGATGGGGACGGGCAAGCGCGATGGATCGGGGTGCATACACTGTCACAGACAACAAATTTAGAGGTTAAGGGATGAAAACAATTCCTAATAATGTTATGATAAATACAACCATAAAAATAAATTGAAGGGATGCCATAACTTACCACGAGCTTCAAGTGGAGATAATCCTCTGAGGGAAGTTTGAGGCGATGTGTGTAGTGAGTGATAAAGATGTTCCATATACGGCGTGATGCGATATGGATGATGCGGGTCCCCGCTGAGTGCCAAGCTTGACACTCCGAGGGTGGTGGCACCGAGGGCAGAGGTTCCCAGAGGGGAAGAACCCAAAGGTGAAGCCCCCAAGGGAGAGGCACCGAGGGGAGAAGCTCCGAGCCGCCCTCCCGAGCCTCCGAGTAAGGGGAGGTCGAGGCTCGGTGCGCTGCTCACTCCTACAAGCCTGGGGGAAAAGAGTGCAAATGATTAGGACACGCCGGGTAAACATAGTACTAGACTAGTACTGAGTGGTAAATGATTAGGACACACCGGGTAAACATAGCACTAGACAAGTACTGAGTGGTAAATGATTAGGACACACCGGGTAAACATAGTACTAGACAAGTACTAAGTGGTAAATGATTAGGATACACCGGGTAAAGATAGTACCTACTCGACAAGTACTGAGTGGTAAATGATTAGGACACACCGGGTAAACACAGTACTAGACTAGTACTGAGTGGTAAATGATTAGGACTCACCGGGTAAACACAGTACTAGACTAGTACTGAGTGGTAAATGATTAGGACACACCGGGTAAACACAGTACTAGACTAGTACAGGGGCCGTATTATCAAAACTTCGTAAGTACGCAAAATCGACTTACGAGTGGCGTTGCTATGACAACGTAATACTAGCGGTGGTATTATCAAAACATTTGAGCGGGAAACATTTGCGCGGGAAAAACATTTACGCTTTTAGCTAAGATTTGCGTACGAAAATTTTGGTAATGCCAAAATTAGGGTGTATTTACGTACCACATAACTTTTTTGTCGAAGTACAAAAAGTTACGAAGTTTTCATAATCCGGCCCCTGAGTGGTAAATGATTAGGACACACCGGGTAAACACAGTACTAGACTAGTACTGAGTGGTAAATGATTAGGACATCACAGCCCAGTACTTATATTTTCAAGTATTCGATTTTTTTTTTTTACTTTCTAGTCGTGTTTATGATGAGCGCGGAAGTTAGAACATAGAACATGAACGCATGATATTAAATTAGCTATATAAAAGCTTTAGCATATTCATCAACGTGTCAATATGAAGGACTTGCGGACTAAGAAAAATTGAATACCTGGAAAAATTATTACTTTATTTAAATTATTATCTAGAATCAATATCATTTACCACTTCTCAGAGCGAGGAAAACAGGAGAACTACATTAATAACGTGATTCCCATCAGTAAAAACGTTTGAATTCACGCAAAATATCGTATCGCATCGAAGAATTTGCATCTGCATAAGCAGCGGGTGTACAGATCGTTGTTATCATAAACGGGCGGATGGCGAGGAACAAACAGTTTGCAATGCCACGAGGAGCTCATATGGATTAAAACATTTCAGCTCGTAAAAGTTAACTTTATATATAGAGCTTTAAACGATATAAAAAATATAACTCAGTCGGTACTCACTGCAGTGAGTGACAGAGAGCGCATTTTCTCGTCGACGAAAACCTGAGGTCACGGACGGACGGACAGACGGACGGACAGACAGACAGACGGAGCTGGCGAGCACAATAGTGCATTTTTTCCATAAATGAGAAAATGCGCTAAAAAGGCCATTTGCTAAGGTAGCTAAGGCTACCTTAGTAGAAATTACCTAATATTAAAACAACTATTGACACGGCATAACATAACAAGAGATAATTAAAAACCATGGATTATTTTTATTATAAAAATTAAGACTAATTGATATAAATCGAAATTTATTTTTTCAAGATAGAAGCTAACACACGACTCTGATAACTGGTTTTTAGTCCATCTGCCTTACCGCAAAATTTAGATAAAAACCTCATCAAGAAGCATCATTGGAGCCCCAACAGAAGACGTCAAAGAATCTAATGACATGAAAAAGCAGCACTATTGATTAGAATTAGAATACTGCACAACTCTTAATGAAATTGACTGTCATTTTTAGCTATGGGCTGACTCCTTGTAGAACAACCGTAATATTGATAAAGCACGATACTTGAAAACACTCTGGGCGGTCACTAAAGATCATATCGACAATAACACAAACATCCCATGCAATATATAAGACGTCTACTTGACAGTCATAATTCAATTATCGATTTTGAGCCGGATTTCACACTTCCTATATAATAAGGTTCTCAGGCAAAGGTTGATTTAAAAAATCCATTCATAATTAAAGAAAAGTCTCAAGATGATTATTTTGGGCCATAAAGAGTCCATTAAGCACGCATAAAGTAGTGTTTAGTACGTAGCAAAAATTCCTTTAGGAAACGAGCCGTCGTATTTCTTGCCTAGCTAAATGATGGCATCGCAACACAGCGCTGACACAATAAGAGAACTGAAGCACCATTTGAGCAGCGCGAACGCATGTAGTGCAAGACGAGATGCTTTTTCTGCGCATAAGACACGCTCGGCGATGCCTCTTTTCAGGTTTCTTGCGGCTTGCTGGGCTTCATCAGCAATTTACTTTCCCCCGGGGAATAATGCATGCAACATGCGTGAGCTCACGCCCGTAACAATAACTTGAGCCGGGGTCTGAAGTTGAGAGTGCATGTCAGCGCTCGACTCCAACTCGCTTCGTCTTGTAAATGCGCGTTTTTCAAGGGACGTTAGAAAGCTCATCAAATCGGGCATTTAAAACAGAAGGCATTATTAGAAGTTTAAAAAACTATGCGTCGATAAAAAAAGACACTATTCGCAAATAAATAAATATTACAATTACACCGGAGTTGTAATTAGCACAGAATAGTTCCTGAGGGAATGTTTAGCGGCGTTAAAATACATTGTTAGCTAATATAGAGGTTAGTAATAATTTTGTTGATCGTATATTTCTTTTGGATAACTGTACTGCACAGGCTTTAATATTTTGTCCAATAATCTTGGACAAAAATTATATTCCAAGCCCAATTAATTACAGCAAGTCACTGGCCACAGGACAAAATGGACTTCCTTTCATTTTATAACTGATAAATATCGTTAGATAATTGAGGATAATTGATATCCAAATAGATGATATCCCTGGAAGATATAATTTAACATCGCTACAAAAAGTTTAGATACGACATACTATCATCGTTTCTTGTTGACATTCCATTTTGCGAAATAAATAATAATGAAATTGCACGAAAAATATAAAGAGGAAAATTTAGGGGAAAACAGAATCTAAAGAAAGAATTGATTATATTAGGTACAATCAGTTATTTTCAGCGCATTTTCTCATTTATGGCACTATTGCGCTAAATATAAAATATTTATGGCAATATATTTATAAAAATGCACTATTGCGCTCGCCCCGCCTGTCAGTCCGTGACTTCAAGTTTTCGTCGACGAGAAAATGCGCTCTCTGTCACTAACTGCAGTGAGTACCTACTGAGTTATATTTTTTTATCATGTACCCCTGACTCAGTCGTACAACAAAATTAAAATTCAAACCTACAACATATCCTGCTCATCGTGTCAAATTTCGTGCACACCCGATAACATGAATATTCTATCATTTATCGAGATGATGCTCTAAGTCTTACTCAGATCGTGTCCGACAAGAGGCGTCATTTTGAAGAGACATTAATAACTCGGCCGTGTATGGCGCGTATAAACATTGCTCGATTATCTACCAAAATACACCGAACGAAAGAACATCAAACAAGCGCTCGCAGCGTGGAGGGAGAGCAGGCGCGTTCACGCAGCAGGCTTGGCACAAGGGCAAACATACGAGAGGGAGTGTCTACACAAACACAAAAGATCATCTTCACACATGTACACAGGAAGTAGTTCAGACAGCGGAACCAGTGCACGTGCAGGCAAGCTTGAATAACTCAAAAGTGCAGAAAATTTTGGGAATTTGCAGCAGAAGTGAACTCTAAAAACTTGCAATCCTGTTTCAAATCTATGTTTGTGCTACATTCATTTGGTACCGAAACATAATACAAAGAACAGCAACTACACAGTGAACTTTTTAAATCTCAATAATTAAGAAGCACGAATAAATTTGAACAAAATATAAAGTCGTGCATGTTGAACATAAACAAGTTTTTTAAAACAATCAAGAGCATAAACAAATATGAACATAAACATCAGGTTCTACGGTCTGAGTGACAGGCCGTAATGTTCATCGAGGCTGCCGGCACACAATGCAAGTCTGTAAAACAAACGAAATAATTTCATCGAGTAGGAATCGAGTGAGCTGTGAGTGACGTGAGGGGAGAGGTGCGCTGGCATAGAAAACAAACTAACACGCGGGCGCTGTGCGTACGACAGGCGCTCTTATAGAAATAGAAATCACTCGGCGATAGTCACAGGTAGGGAACGAAATCTCAACTCGAGTTACATTCGGCGATAAGATCTACTCGTTGTACTTCCAATTAACCTATACTGCTATATTTTCTGAATATTAATCTAGCGTCGGTTTAGATTTAACATATTCTTGTTCAATTTTATGAACTTGAATTTAAATATGCGTTTAATCGTCCGAAGAACAATCGTTCGAAAGATCAATCTTCATCGTTAGGTCCTGAGCTATTCTTTGATTTTAAAATTTCATTGGGGAAAATAGAACATATTTTTGAACAATTTTTTGTGCCAAACAACCAGATGTTCTCGTATCGAATTTTTCAAACGTAAAGTGATCTTTAATTAAAAAGATATACAAATAGAGCCTTCTTCGGGAACTTTAAAGCTTATAGTACAATAACAATATAAGTATGCCTAGAAAATATCGAAGGTTGTTTAATTATCTTGTACGATAGCGTGCTGTTTAGCACATGCTCAATAACATGATTCAACCTTATACAACCCTCCCTCCCTACAAAATCTTCATTGTCACAATTAGGATAGCAACGGTAATCCATATTCATATATAATATCTATGAAAATCAATGAAAGTAGTTCCTTCTGAGTGGAAAATAGTCTTGAAGGATTCATATTATCAAATTAGTCAACTCCATCACATCAATTTCAAATAATATAAGCAATGTGAATACAAGGATATAGAGATAGGAAATTAGTCGATGAACTGAGACACGTGAGGCATATAACAAAACTTCAATTTCCGAAATATGTTTAGAAACTTCGCAGACGTTTCGACGAAAACTCATAGAAAATGCGTTAGACGAATAAACAATAGACGTATTAAAGAGTCAAAATTTTTATTTTGGTATTCACATCGATGTTTAAGTAAAAACTCTTACTTGAAACCCTGATTTTCTATAAAAA